CAGCAAATAGGGAATTAAAACAATCAAAACAGCCCCTGATACTAAAACGTTCGCACCCTTTCTCTCTACTCTCCTTTCCACTTTCCTGTTACAAAGTGTTAAACGTAATGCCCAACACTTCTCTCGCCAGATTTCCAGCCCTGGGGCCCTGGGATGCCTGCCCGGATCAGGGGGTCTCCCGTGTCACCATCACTTGGGACAAGTAGGACACACAGAAGTATGACAGCCTCTGCCCCTAAGGGGGTCACAATCCAGCCGGCAGACAGGACACAAAAAGGTGGGCTTCTCGTTGGGACCGTGGTCTTCACGATAATTTCCGAGCCTGTTTATTCCTGAGTCTATTTATGCAGCTACATCCAGTCCGTTCTAAGTGGTCAATACTTTGTTTACGTGAAGAAAGGAAGCCGGCTTCTGTCCAGCCCCCTCCCTGGGGAGTTTAGGACAGTGCCGCCCGGCAGCCGGACATTGGGCCCGAGCCCGGGCCTGTCTTGCTTCATGGACCGCATCCCGCAGGATCTCGACGTCGTCCATCCCGGTGCGTCACCCGTCAGACACGAAGCCCAGTGCCGAGCATCTTTACCCAACCAGACAGGCAGAACAAAAACGACAGAACAAACCAAGAGGCAGTTTACGGTTGCAGGGAAAACTGCCACTGGGTGCCGGCTGTTCGTGCAGGAAACGGCCTCCGTGTGTGCAGCGGGCACCTGCGTTCTGAGACGGGTGGGGACTCGGGGTGGCGTCAAGTCAGTGCCGTTCCAAGCTCTCAAAATAACAGAGTCCCTAGAGCTCCAGGAAGCCAGCCCTACGGGTGAGAAGTTATTTGATGGTTAAGCTCCCCTCTGGCCCTTCTAACGCTGTATTTTCTCCCCTGTGGCTTTCAACCAACGCTCAAAAAAAAAAAACCAACTTACGTGAAGTTTTTAGAAGAGCTGGGGACACGAGCTTGAGTGCCTTTGTTGGGAAATGTCCTGTTGCCCTGCACTCGATGGATGAGCCCCCTTTGCGGACAGGAGCAGGAGCCTGGGCACCAGGGAGAGAACTGGCACAAGCCGGAGAGAGCTTCGTGCTCCGGCTGAACGTCCGCTGAGCCACCAGGTGGCGCTGCGAGCCGGGCACGGACGCCACCTCCAGAAGGCACCTGGGGATGTGAAAGCCCAGTGTCAGCGAGGGGTCGGAGGAAGCTTTGATTTCCGGCTCTAGCAGGATCAGTCCCTCCTTGGCCTTGCAGTTGTCCTCACGGTGTAAACATCTTCACGGTTCCTTTAGGTGTCACACCTCCAGACGATTAGCACCCGACCTGAGCCCCTTCATTCTTCCTCCTGTTCCAGACCCTGTCCGGCGGTTTTCGAGAAAAGAGGCAGCAGGTGATCAAATCGAATGACACTTGAACCCCAGTTAGCCAGCCAAAGGCAGGTCAGGCCGCACACGGCTCTCCCAGGAGAACCAGCGGGCCCTGAAAGTGCGAACCGAGAACCGCGTGTCTAGCCGATTTGGGCTGAAAAGCAGTGGGCACCGTTTCTTCAGTGGCATTTGGGGACCCTGAGGACGCTGAGAGTCAGCTGAGAGAGCCCCCGCCCTTCCCCTCCCTCTCCTGGCCCCTGTGTGTGACCGTCGCCAAGTCCCTGGACCTCCGTCTTCCTTGGCCTGTGCTTCAGTTAGAGCAGTTTTGCCGACTTTGTGAGACCGCTGAGGGGCACTGATTCCTGAGGGCTGGGCACTGTGAAACCCAAATAAAGGCCAGAGTCGGCGGAGCCCCGGGGAAGGCGGCCTTTCTGGCTTTGGTTTTAAGTCACAACAAGAGGCACAATGCAGCCAAGTCCAGGAAGGTGGCGACACGCGGGGCATCGCTGTGCAACTGCCGACTTACCCGGTGGGCTGCCGGGGCGCCAGCGTGTCCACACTGCGGGGGGCAGCACAGCGCGGGGCCGGGAAATCGGGGCGTCCCGGGCGAAGCTCCCACCGTGCGCCTCAGAGCTCGCCCTGCTCTCGGTGTCATGGGTCTCGCTTATCAGTGAGACGACATGAACAACAAATGTGACTTTTTGCATAGCCCTCTGGCTCTGGGTGATATCATTGGAAACCAGATTCCTTTCCCAGCAGTATTTTTTTTTTAATTTTCATCCAGTTTTTGTTTCCTTTTATTTTTTTTCTCCAAAAATCTGTACAAATTCAGAACTTTTGTTTTTGAATGAGCTGCCCTAATTATCTCACTTTTGCAAAAATTTTAAATAAAATTAAATTGATTTTCATCATTTCTAATTTTCCAAACACTTCTGGCCTTTTAAAAACCATACTTCACTTTTTGGGTACAAGAGGTGTGTAAAACGGATTGTCAAGGAAACAGGGAAACCGTGTCGAAAAGTCGGTTAACTCCCCGTTGAGTGAAGACTGGCAGGAGGTGCTAGAGATGGGGGCACGTAGGTCTTGTGTCTAACAAGCGTTCGCAAGTTTATTTTTCAGGTGAAAATGTTCCCTAAGGAC